TGCACAATACACACATGCATGCATATACTCACATACGTGTACATAATACATAACTCACACACATATACACACATGCATGCACACATACGACATAACTACATGTATACATGCACTCACATACCTGTACATAATGTATAGTACACACATGCATGCATACATACTACATATATACATACATACATACATACATACTTACATACACACACATGCATCCAGACAGCATCCAAATAACCTAGCCTGCCAAAAAAGATGAGAACCAAGGACTCAACCATCACTCCCTTGACACTAACTTTGGTCATCTGGCTCCAGCCAAGCTCTCAACTGACCGGAAATCATGGCATCAGCCTAGCTTGCCCAGACCAAAGAACCACTCAATCTACCCACGGACCAGGACAAATAAAGCAGGTGCTGTCTTCAGGTCTGGAGATATTTGTGAACCAGCAAAACCTGAACCACAATCTGACATGTGACAGTCATTTCCCTTCTAATTCCTGGCATCATCATCTAAAATGGAGGATCCAGATCAATCATACATTTATTTACAAATGTTTGTAAAAATGCTTGAAAATTCAAAACACCAGATATCAAAACATTTCCTCAAAACAATTTTCAAACTAAGAAAAGTATTATTTTAGTGATATAAAATGGAAAATGTCAGTGATACTAGTGAGTTTTGTTGTTTTGTTTGGTTAGTTGGTTTTCTGAGTCATGCTGTGTAGCTCTGCCAGCGCTGGAATTCACTATGTAGCCCAGGCTAGCCTTGAACTCATGGCAATCCCCGTACTGCGGCCTCTCGGGTGCTGGGATTACAGGTGCATGCCACCATGCCCAGTTTCAGTTGTGAGTGACTCTTGAAGCTGAGTGGTATGTGTGGGTTTATCATCCTGCTCTCTTAAATTCTTTTCTTTTTATCTTGTAAGATGTATTTTATTGGTGTGTCTGTGTGAGTGTACATCTGTGTATTTGTATAGGTGCTCCGACCTCCACACACACTGATGGCGTTGGTGGGCTTCAGGTGGCCTCCTGCGTCGCCCTCCACCGGTTTCCATTTTTCAGGCAGGCTCTCTCTCTACCTGTGGCCTGTTTCTGGGACTAGGGTGGAAGCCAGCTGGTCCCCGCAATCCTGTCTTTGCCTTCCTTGGATGTGGGGTTACAGGCCTGGGTCTGGCATGCTCAGCTTGTTATGTGGGTGCTGGGACCAGAGTTCCAGTTCTAATAATGGTGCAGCAAGCACCCTTAACCGCTGAGCCATCTCTCCAGCCCCATTCAAAATTTTTCTGTAAGCTAGTTAAAAAAAAAAAAAGCCAAACCAAATGGAGACATGAAAATCAAGACAACAAAACCTGAGAATTCTAAATGTAAAAATACAAAGAATAGTGTGAAGCTTGATCTGGTGTCTTACACCTGTCACTCTAACACCCGAGAAGCTGAGGCAGGGGGATTTTGATTTCTAAGGCAGCCTGGGCAACATAGTGAGATCCCATCTCCCACACCCTCCCTGCGAAGCTAATTGCTTTCATCTTTAGTTTATTCGTGTGCGTGCTTTGCCTGTGTGGATGTCTGTGCACCACCTGCATACCGGGTGCCTGAGGAGGCCAGAAGAGGCCGTTGGATCCCCTGGGGCTGGAGTACAGAGAGCTGTACAGAGAGCCACTCTGTGGGTGCTGGGAACCAAACCCAGGTCCTCTGGAAAAGCAGCCAAATGCGCTTAAGCACTGTGCCATTTCTCCATTTCTAGGATAACCCACTTTTGATTACTCTGGTGTCAATATAGGCCCACTAGTTAAACCCATGGACCGTAGCAGTGGGGGTTTCATGAAGAACAATAGGAAAGTAAGTGAACCAACACAGACAAACTATCTCCTAGCCAGCAATATTTGGTCTTCAGTTTCATCTTTTGTACTTTACTTCTCTTCTTCACACAACAGGGACAGAAAGACAAGTCTGTTTAAAGTTATAAATAGAAAATTGCAGGGATTGCAGGGAAAAAGAATATTGGCCTTTTTTTTTTTTCTAAACCCCACCATGGGTCCCTCATTACCTTTGTTTTGTTTTAGACAAAGTCCCTGGTAGCACAGGCTGGCCTTGAACTCAGTATGTAGCTGAGGATGACTTTCAAATCTGGATCCTCATGTCTCTGCCTCCTGAGTGCTGGGATTATACGAACAGGCTCTCTGGGCTCAGGCCCTGCTGTGGACAAGCCCCAGGGCTTCACGAATGCTAGGCAGTCAGTCTAAGCAACTGACCCACAGCCAGCCCATTACTTTTCTTCTTCTTCTTCTTCTTCTTCTTCTTCTTCTTCTTCTTCTTCTTCTTCTTCTTCTTCTTCTTCTTCTTCTTCTTCTCCTCCTCCTCCTCCTCCTCCTCCTCCTCCTCCTCCTCCTCCTCCTTCTCCTCCTCCTTCTCTTCGTTTTGGGGACAAGGTCTCTCTATGTAGCCCTGGCTGTCCTGGAACCCACTTTGTAGACCAGGCTGGCCTCAGACTCACAGAGCTCCACCTGCTTCTGCCTCCTGAGTGCTCCGATCATCGCTTCTATGTTCTTTTATGGGGAAAAGAAAGGTCAATCCAGTCTCCCCTTATTGTAAGTGTGAATTCTAGACACAACTTCTCTTACCATTCTTGTGAGGAACACAAAACAGTGACACAGTTACCTGAACAGCTAGTTTATATTGAAAACTCGTCTGGGCTTCTTTTTTTCTTTGCATATTTCAAAATTAAAAATAAAAGAGCTGGGCTGGTGAGATGGCTCAGCGATTAAGAACACGGTCTCTCCTTCCAGAGGTCCCGAGTTCATGCGTGTAGAGGCCATCAGTGGACATCTTCCTCTACTGCTCTCTGCCTCATTTTGGGGACAGGCTCACTCACTGAGCCTGGAGCCTGCTGTTCTGCCTAGGCAGGCTGGCAGCCAGCTCCCTGGACCTGCTTATCTCCCCCCCCCCCCCCCAAGCTGGGTACCAGGTGTGCTCCAACGCACCTGCTCTGTGCTGGGGATCTGAGCCCAAGTCCTAGTGTGTGCTGCAAGCCCTTCACACACTGAGCTGTCTCCCCACCAAAGCCTTTCCTCTTTCGGTTTTCCTTCCCTCCTTCCTTTTCTTTTTTCTTCCTCCCTCCCTCCCTCCCTCCCTCCCTCCCTCCCTCCCTCCCTCCTTCCCTCTTTCTCTCTTCTTTCAAGCTTTGTGTTGAGGGAAATTCCGATGTTCAATGTTTCAATTTCCAAAGTTCTTAAACCTGGCAGAGAGACTTTAAGAATTTGTCTCCCAAATCATACATTTTCAACACTTACATGAAGTCCAAGTTTTATGTCGTAATTTTTTTTTTTCAGGATCCAGAGTTAAATTTTATGTGAAAAGTGAGGCTCTAGAAAAAACTTTTACTTGGCAGAGACTGGAGCCAACTGGCTGAGCTGTCAAGCGTTGCCACTGGACGGTTTACCTGCCGCAGGTCCGGCTGTGAGGGAAAGCCATGCTCAGTTACAGGGAGGAAAAGCGTCAGAGAGGCTTCCAGTAGATGCCGGTCAGGAAAAGTCTGGAGATGCTCGGTGGAGAAAGCACTGGCCATTCAAGTGTGCGGCCAAGAGCTGGGAGCCTCAGAGCCCGCCTGCCATTGCGGCCCTGGAAGGGGGCCCGGGAGCAAGCACGCTAGCTTGGTGAGCTCTGGGTTCAGTTGAGACAGTGCCTCAGTGAAGACAGGGGGCTATCACCAATACACCCAGGGTTAACACGGCCTGTGCCCAGGCGTACACACATTTGAACACTCACATACATACGGATGCAAACACAAGGCAAAATAGCTGGGGGTGGTGAACCATAGCTGTAACGCTTAGGAGGCTGAGGCAGGAGGGTCAGAAGTTCAAGACCAGCTTGGGCTACAAAGGAGAGTGTCTCTCAAGAAAAGTAAAAAACAAACAAAAACACCCCCTCCCAAACCAACAGCAAAACCCTTGACAACTTCTAACTTAGCTGCTCATAAAGCATAAAGGGTAAGGCAGTGGTAGTTCTTGACCTGTGGGTTTCGACCCTCTGGGAGTTGAAGGACTCTCTCACAGGGGTCACTGAAGACCATCAGAAAGCATATATTACATTATGATTCATAACAGTATGAAAATACAGTTAGGAAGTAGCAACAAAAATACTTTTAAGGTTGAGGGTCACCACCACGACAGGGACGGAATTAAAGGGTCGACCCCTTAGGAATGCTGAGAACTACCGGGTGAGTGACGGCCCTCAGCTATGCCTGAGAACGGCACTGTTGTGTGTTATGTTGTATGTGGTCTGTGTATGTTCTTGTCAGTATGAGTGTGTACATGGGTGCATGGCAGCCCACGCTCTGTGTGTGAGGCGGCCAGGTCTTTATCACTCTCCCTCCAACTTACTGCAAGAGGCGCTTTACTGTGTCGCCTCCCCAGCCAGAGAATGGCTAGTTCTTACATCTGCTGCGGCTGGTCTCTGGGCTGGCCATCTGTTTTTGTATAAAGACTTGTGGGAATACACAACACAAAAGCATACTTCTGTGGTTCTTAACCCCATGGCACTAATGAGAAAGTGTCAGAATGTGAGGTGTTAACTGGGAAAGCAGTTACAGGGTGAAATGCTGGGAATCCTTTCTGCCCTGCTTCCCCCCACCTCTGTATTTTAAAATAAGGCTTATGGGGTAGGGGGGAGGCGAATGAGTGATATGATTATTATTAAGTATCAGTTTGATCTCAACAGGCTTAAGAGTAATCTTGCTGTAACTGGATGACCCTGGGGCCCAGAAGCCTTCAGAGCAGGGGCACTTCCCTAAACTTGCTCCCACCTTGGAGACCTGAGGACTCTGTGAAGGCCACGGCTCCACCTTTATTTTAGTCAGAACAGTTTGTACAGGAGCAGAGTTGGAGACATAGAGCAGACCTCCACGCCTTCAGCAGGGTGTGCAAACTTCTGCTTTCAAACGTGAAAGAAACTCACTCCCTGGCTTCACACTCAAGTGTCAAGAGTTAAAATAACATCATGCTATCAAATTGTTTATAAATGTTTATTAAATGTCAGTAATTTTTACAAAGCAAATATTAATAGGAAAGAGACAAGTTTTGCAAAATATGTACAGAAGTAAAAAGCCTTAATGACTAGCAACCCATTTTATAGAACAAAACCATTCCTTCCACTCTCAGACCTCCTGTAGAAATAATTTACTGCTACCCTCGAACTAAAGCACCGACCCCTCCCCCCCAAAAAAATTACAACAGTATCAGATAACGTGCTTAGTTCCTGGAAAGTTATAAAAAGATGTATGAAAAAATGAACCTAAGGCACAAATACTTTTATACAGGGTTGTATAAAGCATGTCTTGTTAGGGACTGCATCTGTGAGGATTGCTCTGTGCGCCTCTGATAAGGCTTGTTGGTACTCGTGAGCTCCCACGTAACAGAAGTCAGCCAGGATAGTTTTGTGATTCTGCTTTCAAGTAAAAGGTAAAGAGAAGGTACACAGTATGCAGTCTGCTTCATTACCATATGCACCCAACCAACACCAACACACTGCCCCCTTCCTCCCTGCCACACCTGGTACCTTCAGACAGGCACGGCTCGTGTCAAAACTGACGCTCACTTTGGCAGTGTTTTACCTGTGAATAACACCAGAATTACATTCCAAGAGGGCGGTTTATTATCAGTGATCGTCACAGATTGATAATTTATGCCTTGTGGATTCAGGCAGGCTTCAAATCATCTGGAAATTTCATCACTAGCAACATAGCAAAGGTCACACAAGTCACATTACAGCCCACAAAACACTGCCACATAACGAGTGCTTCGTGAAAAAACAAGTGGTGATCTCTGCACTTGGGATGTTGAGCCAGGAGGATCTCAAATTCCAGATCCGCCTGGGGTACACAGGCAGAGCCTGCCTCAACAAGTACACAGAATACAAATACAAAACCATGTTCTGTGCCATCCCTGGCACTCCAAACTGGATGGTTAGACCTGAATGCTCCATATAGGAATTAACAGGCAAAGTCAAATGCTGATGTACAGTCAGGTGGACGGAAGAAGGCTAGCGGACAAGCACTGCTCGGATGGATCTGCAAACCAGCCAGGAGAATCTAGCCAATGGTATCGGAAAAGCCACCATCAGGTTGACAGAATATTCAGTCTCTATTGTAAACTGACTAAGCCCTAACCTCGTACCATAAGAAAACGGGCATCGTGTGCCCTCATGCTTTCTTACTAGGCTGAAAAGCCAATCATTTCCCAGCTTTAACAAAAGAAAAAAGTAAAGGAAGCCGAAAGTACTTTCATTCAAGCAGCACAAAACATCATGGGACTCATGAATTTAACATGCTGAAATCACAGGAATGAGAGACATACAACCAAAATTGGATTTCCACATGAAAAGGACCTGCAAAACTTTATTCTCCATTTAAAAATAAGATTAAAAGAAATGAAAGGGTAACACAGTGGCTTTCTCTAGATTTATTAGGGAACTTGTTACAAATGTTTGACTGGGCTTTACAGGTAGGATGCATGGGTTCACACAGGATTAACACTGACACTTGGGTCTTCTCAAATGAGAAAAATATAACATTACTACAAACTGCAACCTGGAGTCACATTTCAAATGGTTCATTTGGGGTTTTGCCTAAATGTATCATTAAATAATGAAAGCACCAATTTGAGGGTTTTCCAAATAGCTTGAGTTTCAGGATATAACCACATTAACTTGGCTATTTTACTCTTCGTATCAACCAGGCATAACCAGATGTGAACAGCAATGCTGAGAAATCCATCAAAACTGAAGCCCAAGCAATTGGACTTACACTGGAAAGATCTACTTAGAGGACACGTGCTTTTTGCTGCATTGAACACTTGTCACTTCTGTCACTCATGTGGTGGGATCAACAGCTTCCACCAACTTAGCAAGCATTTCCTTGTAGAGTCCCAACTTGAGAACTTCACCAGAAGACACAATGCATTACGAGAGGGGGGAAAGTGGCCCTCCCTCTTCAGGACACCCTGTCGTGCTTGGCTGCAGCTTTCCTCTTGACTATCCAGTACCCTTCCAGATAGAAAAACTGAAATGGAGGCTTCAATTTAATACAGACAACATTTGGCAGAAGGCTACATTTCATGCCATTAAAAATATTTAAGTGGCAGAAGCACGCTTTGAATTGAGTTCTTAAGAAAGCATGGAACAAAGCCCTTTCTAAATTTGTGTTGGTCTTTCATTGTAAGGCAACTCTGTAAAGTATATATATATATATAAAAATTAAAAGTCAACCAAGACACTGGTGTGATCATCTGTCAGTATGCAGGAAGGTGCAGGGTTTCAGATCAGAGAAATCTGTAATTAGACATGATTCATTGCACTTACTCCCCAGGACTTGCCAAGTCCAATGCCCCTTGGAGCCTCAACTCCCAGGTTTCGGGATTGGGGGAAGTCAGCACAGTGAAGGTAGAGCACCTTTTTAATTCTGTTGGCTAAATTTCATCTCCTTCTTCACACATTTCAACTTAAAACAGGACCTGGCTTTTGGGATGTAGGTGTAAGACTCTTCATATGTGGACCAAGGCTTCTTGGCTGAGCCTCTCACTCTTTTGAATTCTAAACAATCCTATATAGACTACGTGTAAGGAACCCACCACTCAGAATGCATCTAGACTGCATTCGGTTCTGAGATGCTGCATGCTTCAGGGAGAAGTTGCAGATGCCCAGAAAGATCCGGTCTTGAGTCAGATGATCTTGTCATTTCTTGGCAATAGCAACAATGGAGAAAGCCGGTGATCCTGCTCTGTCAAGCAGTATTTCTGTTCTTACCAGTGCTTAAATGTAACTGGATACAAATGTTTTCTGGAGGGACTGACTTCTGCCTTCAGTTACTCCTGGCCAATATACAAAGAATGTCTGCTAAATCAACAGAAGAGAAAACAAGTGTTCCTGTGCACATGTTCACACATCCATCAGCACTGCAGTTATGCTAACCCATGAGCTTAAATGATAGTCTTTTTGGCAGAAAGGACTAGATAAAGAATCACTCAAATGTGCGTGGATTGCGCTGACGACACCTGCATTGTGATCCTGGAGTACACACCTGAAGCTCGTGTATTACCAAGGCAAGAAAACACTGGAATTTATAAACAAAATGACGGCAAAAATTCAAATCCAAGACAAGTCAGGTCTATCAAGAACACACTAAGAGGCTAAGCTCTCACAGCTGCCAGAGTAAGGAGAGCCACTGCCTGTGAGCCTCAAGCTTGGCCAACCTTTCAGGGCCCAGTTTCTCGCCCAAGAACAGTCACATAGGATAGTAACAGGCCATCACAATCCTCATGCACTCTCCGGGGAACGCAGACATGCTCAGGCTCTACAGACTCAGGGGCCAGGTGGAACAAGACACATGTTTTAGTACATCAGTCACTATGGATTTACCTAATCACAAAGCTACCTCATGGGCACAGTTTAACTTAGCAGTCAGTGGTGTGTATATGTGCGTGTATGTGTGTAAGAAAAAACTCTTTAAGCACAGATCAAAACAATTACTTATTCTTAGATGAATTCTTAAGACATTCAAGTGTACCTCAATAAAGCTTCAGTCTCATACACAATGACACCATCAACATGTACAAACTGTATCTACAGAGACACTAACCGTGAACAGGGTACTTAAAGAATGTTTTCTTGGCTATTTCACAGGGAAATACTGCCCACCAAGCTCTCTGTGACAAAAGAACCCCACAAATGCCACAGTTCAGCGTTGCTGAGGTTGAGGCAGGAGGGCAAAAAAAGAAGATAATGATTCCCTCCAGCAAGGCACAAAATCAAATAAGACAGGACCAAAAAGTCACACACATGGCACTGTGGAACCTCTGCGCTGATGTCTGTTTCCAAGGTGCCTGCCCTTTCTGGCTGCTGTTTCTAGCCTGGCACATGAAGTTACGGACAGTGAAGTATGGAAAAGGCAAACCGCATGTCACTGGCTACCTTAGATCAACATAGTACCTGGACCATTTGTGAACACATCAGCATCAGGCTGAAACCCATACTGTAAACTTAAACACTTAAGACATTACCTTCAGACTGAAGAAACTGAGCAGAAAACTACTGAGTGCTGTGCGTGAGTAACTGCAAACACAGGCAGGCGAAGCCTCTGGAGACAGACTGCTGTCCCTTCAACTTTCCTCTAACAGCCCTTTCGGAGCAGGGCTCACTCTAGCCAGGCATGTCACCACTGTGTAAGGCACTCTCTTGGGTCTTATTTTAGAGCTGGACATTCACAATTTGTCCCTCCAAGTACCTAAGGATACTGTCTACTCTTGGCACTGCAGAAGAATTCCATTTGCAAGCAGAAGGATTCAAAGCCTGAAATACACCTAAGTGTGAGGTTGCCCATGAAGTTCTGGCTGGACTTGAATGGAAGCCATGGCGACACCGATCAAAGCCTGAATTCCGGCAGATATTGGCAATGTGTTAATTCAGCAGCTTTCAGCCACAAACTAAAGGCCATAGAAGGACTAAGATTTCAAGGAGTTAGACAAAGAATTGAGATTTTTCTAACTGTTGATGTAAACTGCTAGTAAAACAACAAGACAAACAGCAAACAAACGAAACCACAACAGCTATTAAACAGCGAGTCTTGTCATCACTGCAGCATGAGCTGCTTGAGGTTGTCGTGAAGGATCGTGTCCTTCACGTCTCGGAACACGAGGCGGATGTTCTCCGTGTTAATGGCGGTGGTGAAGTGGTGGTACAGTGGCCTCTGCTGCTGGTCCCGGCGTTTGCCCCGGAAGCACTCTACCAGAAACTTTTGGACGTCTCTTAAGCAATGTGGGTCCCCTTCAAATTCTAGGAAATAGTCTTTGATGCTCACAACTTGTACTTTCTCCTCAAGCAAGTCTGTCTTGTTTAAGAAGAGAATTATGGAGACATTGCTGAACACCCGGTTATTGACAATTGTTTCAAAAATGTTCAGAGATTCTGTAAGGCGATTGGTCAGGCGATCTTCCATAAGCACTTGGTCAAATTCACTTGAAGAAACAAGGAAAAGTATTGATGTCACACTGTCAAAGCATTCAAACCAACGTTTTCGTTCTGATCTCTGGCCACCTACATCAACCATTTTGAAAGGAACATTTTTAATTTCAAAGTCGTACTCATGGATGCCTTTGGTGGGTCTTCTGGCAAGCAGAATATCTTGCTGTGATGGAATGTAATCCTGGAAGAGAAAAGGGTTTATACTTGGGAGTCAGCAAGTAGCAACTGGCCCAGCAAATGGATGTGCAGATTAAGTGATTAAAAAAAAAAAAAAAAAAAAAAAGACAAGGTCTCACTAGTAGTCCAGGCTAGCTGCTAGCTTGAGTTTCTCACCTTAACCTTCCATGTGCTGGAATTCCAGGTATGTGCATCCACAGCTGACACACTACTCACACGTAAGTGCAACTCTCAGCTGACCTCACCCACCTGCACTACCTAGTAAGGTCAAGCCAGAACAGCTCCAGTGCCATGCTTCTGCAAGCTGCTCCTCGGCCCTCTGAGAACAGAAGGGTCTCCGAGTGTGATTCAGCAGTGCACTGCTCCTAACTCCGGGTGCACTTCTCCCGGTTGGTTCTGGCCTCTCCAGTCCACAGAGAAGGAATGCGTCTTTACCGCACACACCTCCTCCATGACCGTGAAAGCACTTTATATAGCACAAGTGACTGCCCATCTGCATTTCAGACCACAGGCCAGGCTCAAGCAGCCCCCACTCACTGACGAAGAGCACCCTGAGCACCGGCACCTTTGCTGATGAATAGGACGTCCACACCCAGCGGGCATTCACACCTATTACACTTGTCTTGGAAGAGAGTCATTGCCAAGACTGTTAGCTCTCCCAGAACTCCTTATGTAACCACTGCTACAGCGGCTAGGATGGCATTCAACTTGTGATGACTCTCCTGCCTTTGCCTCCTGACGACTAGGATTCCACATTCACTTTGCAGCCCGAGTGTGCGTGTGTGCATGCACATGAGTTTAAGGCAAAGTCTTGCCATGCTGTCCTGGCTGACCTGGAACTTGCTGACAATTCCTCTGCCTTAGTCTTACAAGTGCTAAGACCCCAGATCCTGCCACCATGCCTGGCTTTGCAGACCTGGTGAGCGCAGAAACAGTAAGATCTTGAGCAAAGGCAGCTGCTGGCTGCAGGAGTGAGCAACTGCAGTGCAGCAGCACACTTCCTTACGGTCCCTGACCCGTTCTTCCTTCTCAGGCTAGTACTTTTCCACAAGTCACAGGGCTCTTTGGCAACACTCAAACAGGAGCCGTTTTAATACTTATCTTCATGGTCAAAATATTTTAAGAAGTCAAGGCAAGATTGGAAACTGTGACTTTACAAGCTGTCTGCATTCTATGCCTTTCCAAGGGCTCAGTGCCTCGGAAGGTTTCTAGCTCGTTAGCAGGAGAGAGGCAAATGGGTCGTGGTGGGTCCTACGCTCTCAGAAGGGGCACTGAAGCACAGCGAGACCAGCCTGACTCTCCTCTCCACAGGCTGATTATGTAACTCTCCTTTCCCCTCTAGATGGGCTTCTGGGCGATTCTTGCCCTAACAGTTTAAGCACAAGGCTGGGTGCTGGGATCGGCCTAGACTGCCTGCTTTGTTCCAGGCACCAGAGACTTAACTCTGACATCAAGGTAGGAAGTCCTAGTCCTCAGGAAAGAAAGGGTAAAAGACAAAGTAACCATCCACTACGAAATATGCAACAAAGAAGCAAGAGCTGACACAGACAGGAAGATCCGACAGCTGTTAGCCAACCCTGCCAGCCAGCACTGACGGAGTTCAGGAAGAGTTCAAGGTCATCTTTGACTACACAACTCAAGTCTAGCCTGAGCTACAAGAGACCTTGCCTCAAAAGCCACCCAACAAACAATAAAACCCCATCAACAATGAAAAGAGGACATACATGAATGTGAGCTTTGAGAAAAACCTATCTGAAAAGCAGACCAAACGGGCTGTTTAGATTGTAAGAAAGCACTCAAAAAAAAAAAAAAAAAAAAAAAAAAGATGAACATGGTAGTGCATGCCTTTAGACAGAGCCAGATGTCAGTGAGTTTGAGGCCAGCCTGGTCTACAAAAAACAAAAACCAGCTGGTCTGAGGTCTAGAGAGGCTGCTCTTACAGAGGACATGGGTTTAGTTCCCAACATCCACATGGTGGATCTAATTCCAGTTCTAGGAAATGCAACATCCCTTTGTGGGCTCTTGGAGCACCAAGTAAGTAGAGTAGTGTACATACAGACACACATGCAGACAAGCACTCAGTCACATAAAATAAAACTAGGTAACATTTTTAAACGTTCAGGGCTAGGAGGTGAGCGCAGTCAGTAAACTGTGTTTGTACAAAGGCCCTGAGTTTGCACCCCAGAGCCCCTAGAGAGAAGGTGGGCATTACCAGGGCACGACCTATAATCCTAGAGCTGGAGACAGGAGGATCCCTGGGCCTGCCTCCTCGTCAGCAGGATAGACAAATGGGTAAGTTCCAAGCTCAGGGAGAGACCCTGTCTCGAGCAAGGCAAGAAACAAGTGAGGGAGACCCCATCCAACCTCACCCAGGCCACCTCCGCTAGCATGCGCACACACATCCTCTGCACACACAGTTTCCAAACGCTTTTCTCCAACTGTATATATTATGTGTACAAATTAAGTTGGGGAGAACTCAAGTTGTGGGAGATCCTTATATTTTTGGGGGGAGAGTAGAAAAAAAATCCTTTAAAGGCAAACAAATGCAATTAAAAATTTGGCCTGAAGCTTATGAGACTCCCGCCTCAGCATTCTAAGTACTAGAATTACAGATGTGTGCCATCACACCCAGCAGGCAAACTCAATTAGAAAAATATGAGGAAAAATGTGGAAAATGAGTCTGCTAGGAGAACAAATATAGTTCCCTGTGCCCTAAGCCCATGGTATGTGACTTGCCTTCTTGTGGCAGGTTAATTCTGTGCCTTCAGCATGCTAACACTGAGAGCTAATATCTCATTTAACATATCTAAGAGGAAGCAAAGGCAGCTGCACTAGATTTTGTGACTGACTAATACCTCTAGGGCAAAAGCTCTAAGCAGTGAAAACCTTAATTCCAACCAACTCTTGGGCATTCGCCAATACGGAAAACACAGCAGTGCTTGATCTCTCCCTGCAATGGTACAGGAAAGCCCTGAGCAGCCTCAGCCCAGTTGAGTCACTGGCTCTAAGGAAAACACCTTCCAAGGGTGATTCTTTTACCACAGTCTCTTCAGCAGGCCTCAAGAATAGAGCCCCATTTCCCTCAACTCCAATACAAAGGAGCCTAGCTCTAGTTCTGCTACAGAAAACCCAACAACACTGAAAAATGAGTGTGTGTAATCTCATTTTCAAACAAATCTTTCATGCCAACAAAAATTAGAACTCTTGTCAGTGTCTATAGCTACTAATCATGTTTAAAGAGGATGAATCAGGCCATTGCCACTATAAGAAGAGAAAAGGCAGATCACCTGGTATTTTCTCTAACTCTCCTAACAAGCTGTCCCCAGATAGAAGCAATGCTATCCCGATTACTGCTTTCAAGTACAAACGAGTGGAACACTGTTTTGAAACTTACCGGTACTCCCAGTTTATCCAAGTTATCCAGGAAATACTTCACAGACTCACCCTGAAAGGAAGTAGAACACAAAGTTAGGAGGGCTTAGATGTCACAGTTTATATTGTACTGTGGGGCTGTGCATTTGGTCCAAACATACTTCACTTAGTCACATTCAGAGAAGCTGAAGGAGTGGGACTACCAAGGGTGAGGCCAGGCTGGGCTACACAGGGAGACTTGTCCCTAACCAAAAAAAAAAAAGGAGAAAGTACACACAAAACAAAGAAACTCTGACAAATCTAACCGCAAAGCACTACGAATGAGCTGAAGGTGTGTGTGGCCGAGTGGTGCTTGTCAGGCATGCACAAGGCCTTGGCTCAGCCTTCAGCACTACAACAAACAGCCAATAGGAAGCACACAATATGCTACTACATTTGGTATGGTTTGATGGATGACAGCAAGATACCTGCTCCTCTACTTGACCCACGACAACAGGTTAGCATGACCAAAAGAAAAACAAAACAAAACAAAACAAAAAACCCGGTGTCTAGCACCACAAAAAATGTCACTGCCAAAGTTTTCAAGTCACTGTAGGTTTTTGTTGTGGCATCGAATGTGGTAGGTCCGCTTCCTTGAACGCCGGTCCCTGTGGGATTTCTACCAATGTTTCTCATTCTCAGACCCTACCACACTAGGCACAGCCCTGCCTGTCCTGTACTCTGTTGGGTCTTCCTGGCCACAGCTTAGTGGTGCCTGACACTGATCATTCAGAACACAGCAGATCACTAAGTTATGCAAAGCTTTCAAACGCTGGCAAGCTTTGTTACACAGCATTTAAAACCATGTTTGCCACAAGCCCATCAACTTTATCAAGTTTGTGAGAAGCTGCCACACTCACAGTGGTGGGCAGATTTGGGTTTTTCTGTACTCTAATCTTGCTGAAAGCTCAAGCTTTAGAGTGCTAGCAACAAAAACCCAGGCCATTTTCCTTGAAACAGTAGGTGACCAAACTGTCCAAATGCCAGTCCTCCCTTCAGGCAAAAGCCGCAGCTCTGAAAAGGGTGGCCGAAGCAACTCAGAATGAGCCTAGTCATCCTTTAGTTTCTGCTTCAATCCACATTCATCAGAAAGACACTCAAAGTGAAGCCTGAACACAAGTAACCATTTTATTGTTCAATCCAGGGCTGTCTACAATGAAACTAGTCATGGGTTTGAGGGCGTGTGTCATGTCCACATACACTTCTGACCACAAAAACAGGCTGATGGAGAACATAACCAGTATGGACTGAAAGTCACACACTGATCTGTTCCTCTTCACCTGAGGTTGTGAGCTGCCTGACAGAGTGCTGGGACTTGAACCTGGGTCCTCTGGAAGAACAGCCAGTGTTGAGCCATCTCTTCAGCCCCAAGCCTCCCCTTTTCAAATTGTGTAGTATACATCCCCTTGAGTAACCTATGTTGTTTGTAGGTGTAGAATCCCTTCCACCCCTGAAAACACACAGTGAAGCTGCTAAGCATCCTGGTAGGCAAAGCAGTTCAAGTTAAAGCTTTGCCTGCTTCAGGCCAGAATACCCCAGAAGGAGCCTTCCAATTTTAAGAAGATTTCTATAATGGGACTGAGCATCAACATAGGGCGGGTCATTTGGCCTATCGTCTACTGTTTCTCCCTCTACCTCTAAATGGGAGCACACAGAGACTATGTTCAAGGGCCTGGGAAGGGTAAAATCAGGTTGCTATAAAATTGGTATTTCAGTGTAATGAACAGGGATTCTGCCACTGGCTCCTGACATGCAGGAACTAAGCATGCCCACAGACATAATATCACACAAACACACACACACCCTCACACATGCACAAGAAACAAAAAAATGTGTCTGTGTGAGTGTGTGAGCACAAGTGTGTACAAGTGATTATGCCCATGCACATGAACAGAGGTCAGAAGAAGGTGCTGACGTCCTCTCTCGCTCTGTCTAGTCCTCCCTGAACCCAAGGCTTGCACTTTGCAGGCTTGGCTGAGAGGCAGCAAGCCCCAATGATCCTCCAGTCTCTGCTGTGCAGAGCTGGGACACCTGGTTTGTTATGTGGGTGCCTGGAAACAAATGCTGGTCCTAGCGATTGTAGAGCAAGCATGCTTAACTGCTGAGCTGTCTCTCTGGCCCTGAGTACTATCTTTTTAACAACTAGTTTTAGTCCCCTCCCCCAATGGCAGGGCTTCACTTTCTAACAGCTTTAATATTTCTTTTTTTTCACCACCACCCCTTCTGTCTTTCCTTTGAGGCAGGGTTTCACTGAAAAACCACGACTGGCTTTGAACTCACAGCAGAACCCCTCAGTCTCTTGAGCACTGACATTACAGAAGTGGGTCACTGCCTGGCAGTTTTAATGACAATGTCACGATAAACAGCTTTGAGCACACAGCTTCCTGTACTTTTCCAATTAGATCCATAGTGCTCCTTTGGGCAGAGTTAAACATTTTAAAGATGCCTGCTAAGCTCTACTGGTTCCTCCCCCACACAGGTGAAACACTGACTTCATTCTTCAATGGAGAATCTAGACAAGGATGAAAGAAGCCAACTGGTGGCACAGCCTGTAATCCTGGCACCTGGGAAATGGAGGCAGCCTGAGGACCAGTTCAAGGTGATCCTCAGTTACAATGCGGTTCAAGGTCAGCCTGGATTTTGAAAGCCCTGCCAAAGAACAAACAAAACCAAAAACAGAAAAGAAGCTCCAAATCCGAGTCAACAGTAAAAGTTCAACTACATAAAAGGCATTAGTACAATTTATCTTAAGGAAAGTCTAAACTCCTCCCATGAGCACATGAGATTTATCTGAAGCAGCTCCCTCCCTTCTCACAAGTAAATACTTACAGCACCTATTGTCTGAGAGGGTTTACAGAAAATGCTGCTCACATCCTAGTGCCATTACAGATCCATACAAACCTCTTAGAAAGCTAGGAACATTATGCCTCAGAAAACTTTGAATGGCCTTTGGTCTATCCCAAGCAATCTACTGAGCATAAACAAAAGGATACATATCAGGACAGTTAGGCTGGGAGTGATGGCCCACGCTGGAGGCTCAAGAGCCCATAGGAACCACCAGCTCTAGAGTCAGTTTGATGTCAGCCCACAATATATAAGAGCCTGTCTCAAATACCAGCCCAAAGGGAATAAATAAGCAAAATATCATTTACTCAGCACGACTTACAACAAAAAAATTTGCAACATTATTTTTTCCACACAGAAATAAATATGACAAAGGGTATACTTATATATAAAATTTTATTATCAAATACAATTATTTTATATCATTGCCACATACAAAATACTTGTGCTTTTAAATATTAAACTAAAGTAGTGGATTATGATGTCAAAGCCTACAACCTTGACCTAATGGTGTTCTGTAACTTTTGTTCTTGCAAACATGGCATGAGACTCCATGGTGCCAAAGCCCAGATGTCTATGTCAGGGTCTTTAGTGATTTATCTTACATGACTAAATTATTTAAATTTTTCATGCACAAAAACTATGGTCACTGTCTCGGGGTTTGCTGTGTGCTTGCTGTCATTAAAAAAAAAAAATCTATAGCACATCTTGATTCTAAGATTTGTGAGACTACTAGCTCAGCTGTATATTATCTCCTTAGAATATGGGCAAAGCTAACTCTGTAGAATTTCAGGTAACTATCTTTTTGCTGAAAATGAGAGAGCTATGCATGGTACCTAATGCTTGTAACCCTAGCACTCGAGAGGTTGAGGCTGGGGACTGCCATGAGTTGGAGATTAGCCTGCCTTATGGGGTGAATCCCAAGCAAGAGTGGGATATTCAGTGAGATCCAGAGGAAGAAGAAAGAAGGGGAGAAAGAAGAAAAAAAAATCATGTCACATGTCTTCTTCTGTAACTACAAACACTTTAAATAGTTCAGAGTACACACTGCCCTTCCTGAGGACTGAGCTTGATTCTCAATATGTACACCCAGCAGTCAACAGCCACACCCAGTGGCTCATGTGTAATTCTAACTCCAGTCTTGCAGAATCTGATACCCTCTTGTAGCCTCTTTGGGCACCTGCACTCAAATGCACATACCCACAAGCATAATCCAAAGTAATCCTACAGATTCATTTGTATTTTACTTATACAAGTGTCTGCCTACTGTATGTATGCACACACATGTGCATTACCCACAGAAGCCAGAAGTGTCAGATGCCCTGGAACTGGAGTTACGTGTCTGTCAGCTACTATGTGAATGCTGGAAACTGCCCACATGGGTACCGGTGCCTGAACCTGGGTCCTCTGCAAGAGCACCAAAGGCTCTTAGCCACTGAGACATCTATCCAGCCCCCCACCAAACCTTAAACAAAACCACACACATACCTTCCTACCTCTGTCTAAGTGCTGGGGTTGTAGCAGAGCACTTCCCATACCTAACTAAAGGATTCATCAGAAATTCTGTGGGTCCCAAGTAGTCTGGGCTTTATCTATTAGAGATTCAAAAACCTGAGGAAAACAAGTGGTAATGAACACAGAAAAAGGCATGTATCCCCATCCCCGCCACACATATACAACGAACAAAAGAGACAAAACATAAGTCATCTAAGGCAATGTAGTAAGATCCTGTCCGAAAATAAAGGAGGACAGGAGGAGGAAGAAGGAGAAGGCACGTGCATTGTTATCAAAGCCCAGCTTCTAGTGACCCTACAGGGAGTGATTCAGTTCTCTGTGAATTCCAGACTTCAAAATTAATTATTTTAAATCCCTTCACATTTAGACATATGGATGGACGTGTACTATTTCGAGTCTTGCTTTCTCTCCCATTTCAGCCACATCCACTCAAGAACATAATACTGTGTTGTTCCTGTGGCAAACATAGTTTGGTTAAAATTAAGTCTCCAATCAAAAAAGGTATGTTGGGGCTGGAGAGATGGAGTAATCTGGATTTATTCTTCCTCTCCCTTCCCTCTGGTCCTCTTTTTTGACAGGGTCTTGCCATGTACCCTATGTTGGCCTTGAATTCAAGATAACTCCTGTCAACACCTCTTGAGTTCCAGAAATTTTTATCAGCAGCTTTTAAATTTT